TATGTGTGAATGTGCACACGCACCTTGCCTTCCTTCAGTGTATATATGTGTGAATGTACACACGCACGTTGCCTTCCTTCAGTGTATATATGTGTTAATGTGCACACGCACCTTGCCTTCCTTTAGTGTATATATGTGTGAATGTACACACGCACGTTGCCTTCCTTCAGTGTATATTTTTAAATATTTTCTGTTCCTCAAGCTGCAGCATACAGTTAAAAAAAAAAGTTCTTACAGAATGTTTGGTATCTGAAGTGTAGCTCTGGGTTTATTCCAAAAACTACAAATAAAAAGAGCAAAGTCCTGTAAACATTAACCTGCCGTAGTGATATTATAAGCTATGGTCATCCTCCTTGCTGTCCACAGTTGTCATTTGGGAGTGAGGATATTTGAAGTGTAGCAAGTCAGGGACCAATTTTTATTAGTAACAAAATACGTAATTATTTAAATGCTTATATAAACATCAAAATATCTCCCACAGGTTTATGGAGAAAAACCCTACAGTCCAATATAATACTGCCAAGGTAATCTAGTTTTAATTTCCATATGAAATCTATATGTTAGTAACTGTTATGTAATTACCTTCAGCCAAGGCTTCTGAACCCTAAAGTGAATATAACTGGGTTTGAACGTTTATAACCTACAGAGACAGCCATATTTTTGTGTTTTATTTCAAGACACCATGAAGTCATAGCCATTCTATCTACAGTAAAATGACATTTTTTAAGTTTATTTTGACCTGTAAATATATTTTAATCTCCTTCCACTTTGGACACAGATGTTCATACTGAATGTCTCCAAAATACACCATCAATGAAACTGTTCAATGCATAGACTTATGATTTAAAATAAAAGTTTCTTTTTAGAAAAAATGTAAAAAATAAAAGTTTCTCTTTGGAAATTTAAAGTCTGTCTTTAGAAAAATGACTATCTTGGATTACATCAATCACTTTCAATGTTAACATGTACTCATTTATCCCAAATTCCCCTGTATGGAACAGCTGTTTAGTTTTATAAAATAAGCCTACTTAAAAAAACAGTGATTATGCTCAAAGGCAGAATATGACACTCCCCCAGTGTATACGCTGAATACAGAAATCACTGATAGAGTCTAAGTAGTCCACACTTGCTGGGTAAGCAACAATGTTCTTCTAATCCTAACATCTGCATCCACCATAATATAGAGGGAAATCAGAAACCTGGATAAAAACTTAGTAAAGCGAACATAAAAACTGCACTATGTTTATCACAATATTACAATTTTGGAGGATACTGTGTAGTTTTGTTTGACTACATTTTCATAAGCAATATCAGTTTTACTTTCAAAAAATCAATGTCTATTTTAATTTTTAAATTACTCTTTAAACTGTGTAGCTACATAATAAGACAAGGTTATAAATAGAAGGACCAAGAATGATTTTCTTGATTACTCCATCCTTACTAATTAATACTTACTTTGTAATGTCACAGATAAGAAGTTGGCATTATTCATTTCAGATGCCATGGGTACTTTTAGTCAAATGAATGCTGTAAATCATGCAGTCTGCAATAGATTGAGTGCTGTTAGTTTTTCTCTTTATAACTATGAAATACTGTCTTTCAAGTACTCATCATATAATACACTACCCTGGAATATCAACCATATTTTCCAGTATAATAAATTCAATTCTTCATTAAAATCAGATTCCTTGGAATTTCTGCCCCTGCTCCTGCAGAGCCAATCTCTGAATAAAGAACTCAAGCGTGAAGCACCAAGCAGCCCGTTTCAGGAAGCAGCAAATGATGGGGCAGCAGCTCCACGGAGCTCCTGTGAAGGATTTTAGCTCTAAACCCCCTTTTCTGAGTAAGGCTGACATTATTACAATGCTGCTCCTCAAGAAGAAAAACGTGCTACAGGTGGTATGTTCTGCTGATCACAATACCAGTTAAGAATTATTAAATATAAATGTACAGCAGTGTAAACCTGGCAACTAGTATTTCCTCTAGGAAGAATCTGTATAATGTTTATCCAAGTCAGTTAAAGAACTAAAGATATTTCTCTAGACATTTTTGCTGTGGAATATTTTGCAAACTATGAAAAAGTAGAAGAGAAGTTCTTTACTTTTTTCGGCTGTTATTTCTTTCTCATGTTCTCATTAAACACAACAGAAACGTCCATCAACCCTTCTAATGTAAAGAAATTTTTAGAATAGTCAAGTCTTTGCTACCCTTTATACAGAAAATGATCACGGGCCTCTCAAAGGCAGCCTTCACACTGACTGCGACTGCACTACACACTGTAGTAGCCGTGAATTATACTGTTAAGGAACTTGTTTTACGTAAAGTTAAGCATTCAGTCTTTCAGCAACAAAAGCAACTTTTTCAGTATTCAGTAGCTCCAATTAACATTAGTTATTGTATCGGGTAACATAACAGGCTTTAACATTTTAGACATCAACTTAAGAAATGCCTTAAAACTGGAATTAATCTTGAAGGAAATAGGTTTATTTGTAATTGATTACAGTTAATAGATATTTTGACACTGTATCCCAGTCCTATTTTAAATTGTACATTTTACTATTATAATATGTTCTAGCAACTGTCAGCAAGTGGAGAGTATGCAGACCTGGATAAAGTGTATTGTCTGTAAAAGCAGCAACCTGGAATAAGAAAAATGCTACAAGGAAAAATGGTGCCTCTCAGACCAAAGCAGAAATCTCAGCAAGCCCTGTTTCAATGAAGAATGTACTACTCTGTAGAATATCTCAATGGACTAAGCAATAATTTAATGCTTCCTTAATGAACCTTTAATTGCAGTTACTGAATAAATGTTTGCATGGAAAGATAGTTCAAATTTATTCCAGGAACCTGACAAGCACATCCTGCAGGCATTTTTTCTTGGGTGGGTAAGGCTGTACCCTCTTCTCACATCCTTGCTAGTCTCAAAAGAATACATACTTTGGGTATTTGAAAATAAATTTAGTGTAAGTGGATGGTAACAATGACATTTACAGGGAGTGTTTCAGCAAGTACAGAACTATATTGCTTAGCTGGATTATAAAGCATTTTCAGACCAAACTGTCAATAGCACATGATAAAGAAAGGCCTGTTAAAATGGACTACAGTTTACTGTCTTTGTTCCATAATTTTTTTAATCTTCCCACTATATGTCTTTGTCAGCCAGTCAGATTAATACAAAGTTGTAAACCTACTTACTCAGATAATAAACAAAGCAGTCACTGTAACTGCCATCAGGAAGATTATAAATGAACACTAAAAAATAAATTAGCAAATTACTATATTAATTGATTTTAAAAAATAACGACAATTTTCTAACACATCTCACTCATTCTACCTAATTCACAAACTTGTGGAGTCCAAAGCAAAATAAGGATGGAATAGGAGTTACAATGGACTCTGCTAGACAAAGCGTCTCAGTAACCACAGTATTCTCTTGACTTTGCATGTTGTTAAGGTACTAACACTTAATGAAACTATTACAGATTGAGAACAGATACCGGTAACTTAGGGTATGCAATAAGTCTTGAATTCACAAAAGTAATCAAGAAAAGGAAACAGTGCATACCATTAAAATGCCATATTTAAAATGTACAATTTAATAAAAGGTTACACATTCATTTCCAGGAAGTGTTCACATCTATCACCCTGAAACATTTCCTTCTGACCTTTAACAAGAGATTCCTCCTGCTTCTACCTCCCCAATCCCCAGAGGCATGGATATGTTTCCTGACACTGTTAAGCCTACAACGTAAAGTTGTTTCATGTAATTCTTCTCTTGGCTTATCATACTCAGATAATTATTGTGATAGCAATCTAATGTTTGTAAATGGATCAATATTTCATTAATCTTACTGAGTCGTACTGCAAGGTATGGATAAAACACCACTTGTTTATCTGTTTATTTGCAGCTGGGCATTTGGATTGTTTTCATTTTTCACTATTATAAAGAAACCTCATAATTTTCTACAAACACTCATATGGGCATTTTTTATATGTATCTTGATGAATGATTATGTTTAAAAGTAGTAGATCAAGGGGAAGGTGTATAGTTAGAAAAGAGTTGAAATGTTTTCCAAAGTAGTTTTATCAAATAAAGTAGTTTTATCAAGCAAAGTATTTTTATCCTGGTAGCCTGCTACAAAATTTCCTGTTGCTCCTCTTTCAGGATTCATTATTCTGCTTGGATAATGTTTCATATCAAAAGTTTGATTAATATATTATCAAATATTTAAAAAATTTTACAGGCAGAAGTATTGAAATCACTGGTTACGACGTTTTGAACGGAAGTAGAAGTCTTTTATTTTACTTCCTTATATTTTTCTCTGAATATTTTAAACTTCAAAAGTTTTATATAATCTTTTAGTTTAAACTTTCATCTTTAAAAATGACATTTTGAACTTTTCATATTATGCATTCATATAAGTGAATACTCCAAATACTTAGAGTAAATATGTGTTTGCTGAAAAGAACAGAAGAAACAATAACATGTCTGGACACATAAGAAAAGGAAAAGTGCTTTAAAAATCCGTGGATTTTTCTTTCTACAATGGTGCATGTGTGTTACTGCAGAATTAGCCTTAAAATAATTTCTATCACTTCATTTTAAAAGCTTTACTTTTTTGCCAACATTTTTATGTTCAGGCTTTGCATGATTTTTTTTTTTTAATAAACTGCATTCTATCTGCCTTTAAGGTTTAGTTCTTTTTTTTTTTTGGTTTTTCTCCGGTACCGGGAACCGAACTCACGACCTTGTGCTTGCCAGGCAGGCGCTTTTGCCACTGAGCTATATCCCCAGCCCCTAAGGTTTAGTTCTTATATGCCTTATTGTTTAATTAATATTCTACTTTGAATTACTAATATAATTAGCAATCATATTACTGGAAAAATTTATGCTTTTTTTTTATAAATCTCTTTTCCTAATGTATGTTTTCATGACTTAGAGTACTTTTGAGTATACATCTTAGTCCACATCTCACTTTCTGTCTTAATTACTCAGCTTGCCTCATCAAATACACACACACACACACACACACACACAGTTTTATTTTCTCTTAGAGATTAAGCTCCATTTGGTTACAGACAGTTTCTTGTTCCTTGTTCTGTAAAAATATTTTTATCAGCACAAAAGTTGGCTACAAAAAGTTGCTGAAGGGTTGAATTCATCGTATTGTTAAATCTTTATATTATAATATCCACTCAATCAAAACTCTGTCTTATTTCCTCCACGTATCACTTTAAAATGCACTCAATTCCTCCCACAGTCTACACTTTTGCTGATATATTCTAGTGACATTGATTATAAAGTATTATTTCTATTGTGATTGTATTGTTTCTATCATGTTACTCCTTCTGCTTAAAAAGTTTCAAATGTTTGAGAATGTCTAGAAGGTAAAGTTAACAGTCACTCAACCTAGGTTAAAAATAACAACAAAACTATACCCCTGGTCTCCTTCTGAGATGTCAGTACCTTAGTAACAAAAATTTTGCTCACTCACCACAACCAAGTTTTAGATTTGGTCCACATGACACCCTTAAGGTCTCCCCAACTTGATTATTTCTTTTTGTTCTTTACCCCCAACTCATTTCAAGTCGTGTAATTTCCTTCCTTTTCACCCAGGTCACCTGCTAAATGATCTTCCTGTTGTTTTCACCTGGGATGTATTTTCCTTATGCATCTCCAGAGTCTTGGAAAACATACAGAAACAGCACCATTTCCTGTTTAAAAAATAATTTTAGTGACTCAATTTTCTTTTTTTTGGTTTTTCTCCGGTACCGGGAACCGAACTCACGACCTTGCGCTTGCCAGGCAGGCGCTTTGCCGGTGAGCTAAATCCCCAGCCCCTGTGACTCACATTTTCCTCAGAATAATTTCGTGCTCCATAGCCTGACTTATAAGGCTTGTGTTCACCTGCTCTCTAAATCCGCGCTAACTACAGGATCTAACACTCACTGTTTTGTGCATTGTACCTCATGTGATATGAAACTTCGTACAAGCTCTTCTTCTTGTACATAATATTCTTTCTTCTCTAGTAAGCATACCTGTGCCGTCACACTGCCTAATACATTACTCTTATTCCTAAACCAAACTTTATTTGCTCCATCTCCCAGTCTTTAGGTCTCCCTCTCACTCACTTTCTCTAGACTTATTCACTGCCTCAAGCCTGTAACTGCAATCAAATTCTCTTCTTATGAAAGATAAAGTACTTAATGTATGTCACTATTAAAGGTATTCAGGATCATTTTAAAAAGTAGATAATACCTACTACCAAGTTGCTAATATACTTGCATTCCATTTTCAGTATTCAGTGTGATGATACTGTAATTATATTTTATAATATCAAGATTAATAATTTTTGGAAATGATAGACTTTGAAACTTTTTAATCTATATGATTCAAAATTACATTTCAGTTTAAACATATTCAGGGAAGTAATTTTGTAAAAATTTCTGTTCAAAATAGTGCTGTTTAAGTTTTTGTCTAATCCGCAACATAATATGGGTAGCAAGGGGCTGGGTAATAGGTTTTACTGTCTTTTTACTCAT